TTTAGACCAAATATTACAGATTTGAACAAATACGCACAAAAACATCAAAATTAGCACAGAAACAGTACTATATAACATTTTAGACACATTCTGGGCATTTTATCAGCTAAAACAGGTTAATTTTGGGGTAAGTTACTCTTTAAGGTCATATAACAAATCAACTGTTTCATGATGAAGCTCAGCCAGTTTGTAGTTATTGGGTTCATAATCTGCCACCTTTTTGTTTGTTTCCTTGACCTAGATGTACATTGCACTTATCTCTCTCCACTCTCTGCTCTTGGTGGTCTTCCATTTTCTCTACTGTTTTGAAGATGATTGGACAAGTAAGTGTTTAATTTTTCTTTTTACCCTCAATCTTTGACTTATAAAGAAAACAAAGCTGCAGTTATTAGGTGACAGAGTTACTTTCAGAAAATGTTGTTGACAGAATGTTTAAACAGAAGTTTGTATAATCCATTAAAATTTATTAGCACTACAGTCTTTATGCTCTAAATTAATCATACAGTTAATCAGAGTTTTAGTACCAACTGAGAATTCAAACCTTGGAAAAATATTTCATTGTATAAAGATTGGACTGGCTGCAAATTGTTTGTATGACATAATTATCATATTTGGATTAGTCCTTTTAAATATTTGTTCTAGTTAAAACAGAAACTGCTAGTAATTATTGTCTTTCTTGGGAATATAGCTATCTGAGCTATTTTCCTGCTATCAAAAATACATTCCTGCAAGAATGTATTTTTGTTTAATTACATACTGTATTTTTGGATTGCATGTGCTCAGTAGAACGACGCCTTCAGCACCAGAAAGAGTCACTTGTTTTAATAATTCATCTTGATGTTTTTAACTGTTTTTGTTAAATAAGAAGGGGTGGTGTAATTTGAGCAAATTTCTACTAAAAGGATCTAATAGTGTATAAATGTTTGTGTAGTGGTTCCCAACCCTTGTCCTCAAGTACCCCTACCCAGCATGTTTTACTTGTTTCCCTGGTATTCAGCAGGTCTTCACAAGATTGTTAATCACCCATTCATTCAAACCAGGTGTGTCAAATCAGGGAAACATTTAAAAATCACTGCTTTAAATGTTGACCAACACCTCAAGAGCTTCTCTGAGAGACATTTTCAAAGTATAATATTGACTTAGTTTTATGTTTTTTAGTATTGCCTCTGGAAGCCATTGATTCTTTGCCATTCTTTTGTAAATTATAATTCAGAAAACGTGCGTTAAAGCAGTGATTCTCAACCCTAGTCTTCAAAGGCTCCTTTCCTGCATGTTTAGATGTTTCCCTGATTTGACACACCTGGTTTGAATGAATGAGTGATTAACAATCTTCTGAAGACCGGCTGAATAGCAGGGAAACAAGTAAAACATGCTGGGTAGGGGTACTTGAGGACCAGGATTGGGAACCACTGGTGTAGACTCCCAGTCATTCAGGACATGATGCATCATAAGTGTTTTAAAACAAAACTTTTTTTACTTTATTCTTTTAATATTTGCTTTTTGAATGTGTCATTGTTTTCACTCTAATGAACAAGAGTGGTTTCAGTTTGTTGAGCGCATATAGAGACATACCAGTAATTATCCTATCCAACCACACATACATACATAGCTGGAAGAGGTAGCTGAGGAAAGAGAGGTGTGGACGTTCCTGAACAAGATCGATCAATCATTCCAGAGTCAGGTTGAGGGCCAGCAGCCTGGTCAGGGATGTCCAGAACTCTCTTTCGACATCCACCTCTTCCAGCTCTTCTTGGAGAACTCCAAGGCATTCCCTGTCCAGCTGAGAGACAGATCATATTCACACCTGATAGTCTGACAGACACGGTTCGATTGGGGACCAAAGTTGCAACATTTCTTTACATTTTCAGCTGGTGCAGTTCACATTCACACTGCACTTTTTTTTTTAACTTAGATTTTTTTATTAATTTTAATTTTTCAGCAGAGCGAAGTACAACCATACTTCAGTGGTACATAATACAAATGTTGACAATATGAAGTTTTCCATACAATAAACATCTTGGAATAACAACTTACAGCCACAGCATCATGTTTATAGACTCATCATTGTACACCATTTAAATAAGAATGAACTCTGGAAGAGATAACCAAACGACATGGGCCAAAAGACAAATCCATTAGGTTTAACTAAATCAACAGGGCCTCTGCAGGTCCCCAGCGCAGGTCATACTTAGATTTTTGAAGTCTTAGTGAGTAGGTTTTCTTTTCCATTGAATGCAATTCCCTTACTTTTTGAACCCATAAGTCGTAAGAAGGCGGCTCCAATTGCATCCACCTAATTGTAATGCATTTCAGGGCTGCTGTAAAAAGAACATTTAACAAATACATTTTGGCCCGCCCTTGTAAACCATCAGGAATAATACCGAGTAAGGCAACAGTAAAATCCCTTGGGATAACCCCAGAAAAAATATGGTTTATAGCTCTATACACCTCATCCCAAAAGTTTTTGAGTTTGGGGCAGGACCAAAAAACATGTGTGGTTGGGAATCATTGAGCCACAATTTCTCCAACACAAGCTTGGTACCTTAGGATCCAYTTTAGCAACTACATCAGGGGTCCTGAAATATCTGCTAATAATTTTCCATTTAAATTCCCTCCATGTATTTGAGTTAGTAACTCGGTGAGCCTCAGAGCAGATATCCTCCCATGTTTTGTCGGAAATTATTTTGGCCATCTCTGCCTCCCATCTTTGTTTTGTCCAGGAGGGTTTGTTAATGTTCATTGACAAGAATACACTATATAACTTAGCTATTAATTTTTTGTCCTCTCCCCCTTTCTGGAAATGGATTAGAAGATTTTCTATTGGTGAGGGATTTAGTATTCTTTCCCAGTCTTTATATGCAAACAAAAAAGAGAGCTACTGTAGATACAGTATCTAAAGAAATCACTTTTCTGGAGATGGAATTTCCTGCGTAACTCTTCAAAAGATAAAAGGTTGTTTCTGTCGATCAATTAATGAAGAAATGTGAGCCCATTTTCAGTCCACTTAGAAATTTTTTTGTCCAAGGAATTAGGTGTAAAGGATTTAATATGTCCAATACTTGTTAATATTGATAAACCTTTTGGAAGCTTGAAGGAGATACGCACCTTGTTCCAAATGTTAAGAGTGACTTTAGTCCATAGTGGCAGATCCTTAACTGGAATATCTAAAAAAAGGCAATACCCTCAATGGTACTGAGCACCGCACTTGCAATACCCTCAATGGTACTGAGCACCGCACTTGCTCTATACTCAAACCATCTTGTTTCGGAGTCCTGTTGAATCCATGAAATCAAAGGTCTTAACTGAGCTGCCCAATAATAATATTTTAAACAGGAAGATTGTGACCCCCCTCTGTCTTACTACTTTGAAGTGTTTTATATTATATGCGAGGACGCTTGCCTTGCCATATAAATTTTGATATCATTTTATCCAATTCAACGAATGTGGGTTTTGGTGTACCAATTGGTACCATTTGGAACAAATGCAATAATCTGGGTAATAAATTCATCCGAATGGTTTCAACACGGCCAAGGAGAGATAAAGGCAATGCTGACCATCGCTCTAGGTCTTTTTTAATTAAATCCAGAGTTTTGCTATAATTAACATGATACAAATCATTTAAAGAGAGGGGAATGTTGATGCCTAGATATCTAATGCCCAATCTTGGCCACCTAAAGCCACTCTGTTGTTTAACCCTTAGTGGAATATTACCATTGATATCCATCGCCTCAGTCTTATCAACATTTATTTTATAGCCGGAAAAATGACCATAAACAGATAWCATTTCTCTCAGACGCGGTATCGATGAAGCAGGATCAGATAGATACAGGAGGACATCATCCGCGTAAAGAGATATTTTATGTTCCTCGGTACCAATCAAAATCCGTTTAATGTCATCACTGTCCCTGAGAAGCTGGGCGAATGGTTCAATGCTAATTGCAAACAAAAGAGGTGACAGAGGGCAGCCTTGCCTGCATCCGCGCTCCAGCTTGAAACTTGCCAACCTAAAACCATTAACTCTAACTGCCGCCTGTGGGGATGAATATAATGTAAGGATCCAATCTATGAACTTGGGCCCAAATTTAAAACTCTTTAAGGCTTGAAAAAGGTATTTCCATGACATGCGATCAAAAAGCTTTTGGGCATCTAAAGAAATCACAGCTGTCATGTCTTTATGTTCTTTTTGAAAAGACGTGATATTCAATAAGTGCCGCAGATTATTTCCATAATACCTTTCGACAATAAACCCGGTTTGATCTGGATGTATGATTTGAGTTACTATGGCATTTAAACGTCTCACCAGAATACCAGTTAGAATGCGTATGTCTCCATTAAGCATCGATAATGGTCTATATGACCTACAGTCAGTAGGATTCTTACCTTCTTTATGTAACACAACTATTGTAGCATCAGACCAAGAAGGCGCCATTTTCTTATTTTCTAAAGAAAAGCGGTATGCATCCAATAAACGAGGGCTGACTATGTCTATGAAACACCTATAAAATTCATTTATAAAACCATCAGGGCCTGGAGACTTATTATTTTTAAGGGATGAGACCACGTTTTTAATTTCGTCTTCTTGAATTGGCATATCTAATTGTTTAGCTACAGTTTCAGTTAACTCAGAAATATTTATGTTTTGTAAATAGTCTGCTATCTTACTCTCATCAGAGCAAGTGCCAGTGTCTCGGTATAAAACCTTGTAAAATTCTGCAAATGTTTCAGCAATATCTTTTGGTTTTAAAATGGATTTATTGCCCGATTTCAGCTTCTGAACAACATTTGAGGACTGTTGTTTTTTAAATCGGAGGGCCAAAAGTCTGCTCGCTCTATTTCCATTTTCATAGAACTGTTGTTTGGCAAAACGAAGGTTACCTTCTMTCTTTTCTAACAATAAATCTTGGAGTTCTCTGCGTGTTGTATTCAAATCATTCAGAGTTCTGTGTGCTCTAGACTTTTTATGTTGAAGTTCCAGTTCCTGGATTCTATCTTCTAAATATTTCTGTTTGGCTGCCTTTTGTCCTTTTTTTGCAGTCATGTAGGAGATGATGCTGCCTCTTAAATAGGCCTTTGCACAGTCCCACAACATGATAGGAGATGTTTCCGGCATGTTGTTTATGTCTAAATAAGTTTTAAGGTCTGATTTAACAAACGCAACAAATTCCTTGTCATTAAGGAGAGAGGCATTAAGTCTCCATTGTTTAAACGATGGTGTCAGTCCTATATTCCACTTGACAGTGACAGGTGCATGATCAGAAATTGTAATGGGCAATATCCTAATATCCTCAATCCTGTGTAATTCGGCCTTAGCAGTAAAAAAAAT